AGGAGATAGAGACTGTGGAGTGAGAGGGCTGATCAGACTATAGGGTTAGCATTACCATGGAACGATTATGCCCTTTCACTCCTCCCTGGCTACAGACTAATTGCTAAAGAGGAAGCTTACAATAACATCCAGGTGGCTATCTGGCATTCAAATTATTATCTGTGCTAAACTTTTGGAATTGACAGTATCAAGAGTTTATCCCATTATTTTCAGGTTAAAAACAAATTGACATAACGCAACTCAAAAGCTAGAAGAAACCCTGCAAAAGACCAACACAATTCTTTGCAGTAATTCCTTAGCAGTTGCAAAGAACATCTGGTTCTCATGGAAATTTCTCTTCCTGTTCTCTGCACACGCTGATTTGCAATTGTAAGGTAGCTGATGAACCCAGATAGCATGTCCTGGCTGCTTACTGTACAGCTGCCTTCGTGTCCCAGGCTGCCTGCACTTGTCGGGTTCACAAGCTATAAAGCCAGAAGGAAACACAGTGACCATGTATTTCCACTATTGCTGTCGCACAAACCATAGGCTACTTTCAATTAACTCCCGATTTGAGCCAGACAAAACGTTCTGGAGGAAAGTAATGTAAGGAATGTCATTTTAACTTCAAATTTTGCAGTGATCAGGAATCCACTGCAACCTTTGTTAGACTGTCACAATGGTTAATCATTGGGTAATTAGCTTCATTGTTAAAGCACTGCTCATATTAATCTACTCCTCACATTTGCATAGTAATCAAAATAAACATCAGGAGACAGAGACTTTCCAAAGGAGCAAGCTCCAAGCAGGAGCAGTCTGTATTGATCTGATCAGCAATGGCATCATCGCTCTCCAGCAGGGATCAGCTTGGATTGCTAAACACGCCCTCATACCTGTCGTGCTCGCAGGGCCACTTTTGCGTTGGTCGTCTTGCTGAGCTGGGTCAGCTCTGTCAGAATATTAATCAGCTCATCTGTCAAGGTGGGGTCACGGCCACATAGCTGGTCCTAAAAATAAAGAGAACTGCAATTGTTTAGAACAGAGGAAAACCATCTTCCATCCACCTACAAAGGCGTTTAAACCTGAAACACATACAAGGACACACTCAGGTGCTGGACCACATCACCTCCAGAGGTCCCTATCTAAAAGATTCTGTAATTCTGTGCCAAGAAGGGTACAAGTATTAGGCTTTCAATAATTTTACACGTATAAATAAAGCTACAGAGGAAAGAAGGCACTGGCACCATCACCTATTTTCTTATTGTAGCATGTGTTTTGGCATTCAAACACATGAGAAAAATACTGACTTGTCCAAGAGACTCAAATAAAACATTTTCCTATTACCCAATTTCAGCCCTGTACCAGAAGTCTAGCAGCAATGCAAAATTCAAAGGGCATTTTAATTGTAGCAAAATGCCTTGTGTAGCAAAGCATTGTGTAGCATGCAGAGAGATCAGCAAATTTCCACCATGCTGATCAAACAGAAAGAGCTCAACTGCTGGGAGAAGCTCCTGAAGTCCACTTAAGAAAACACCTCAAAACAAAAAATACTCCACAACTCCACAACCACAAACCAACCACATAGTTTGTTCAGCTTCAGCAACATCAGGAAATAAAGATTCTGTCATTCCTCTAATGTTGCTACACAAAGCCAACTACAACCATAAATTACGTCATGTGTTTCCCGCCACAGTACAGGACTGACTCCATAGTATTTTTCCTAATTAGAGAATCAAGATTCTGAGGAAGTTCCCTATCTTACTTCATACTGTCTAAATTGGCTGGATAAAACAATAAAACTGAACAGCATAATTTTCACTGTTAATGCTGTTTCAAAACTCCTTTGGATTCAGCCATCCAAAACAATGCAAACAGGACAATTTCAATAGATTCTGTTTTCTGAACAGAGGATGTGCACTCTGATGTGCACTTTCTTCCAAAACCAGCTTCAATTCCAGATAATAATCCCAGTCTTCACCCCCTTGCACCGGCTTGTGAGCCTCTTCGCTCCCACTCCTGAAGCTGGAAACCTCTAAGGAACCTCGAATGTACCTCTAACATGATTTTTTCTATACAACAATTAACAGCTTTTCTCTTGGTAAATGAATCATAGGAGGAAAACGCAAGATGAAACAGGGATTTGCAACCTTAAAGAGAGCTGGTGCCTTAAAGGTTTAAGATATTTTAAACACATGCAGTCCAGAAAAGGCCCTTTGAAGATCCAAGAAACAGAAAGGGAAAAACTGAAACCTCTGCACAGCAGGTTACATCGATCAGCCTACCAGGGAAAATAAAGTAAAAAAACCCAAAAAACCAAATAACAGTAAGTCCCATAGACTGATTAACAAATAACAGCTCATACTACATGCAAAGCCAAAGCTAAATAACTTTACTCCACATTGATCTTGACTCCTTTCTCTCCGACCCCACTCAAACACAATGCCATCTCTAGGAATGACAGCATACATCTCTTGGGGAGAGAGACCACAGTCAAATCACTCTTACTATAAAAATCTAAGCTACTAACTCCTATTAGTTTGTTGTCCACTGCTAGCCAGTCTTGGGCCAGCAAACATTACAATGATTGTTCCCAAAGAACGTTCTTTAGATCTATCCACTCCAGGTCACTCTGTGAATTCACAGTGAACAACTCAAGAACTGCCCTCATCATATTTGAAATACGAATTCCTAGGTGTTGTAACGTTACTGCTCAAGGTAACAAAAATCCAATAGGACGCAGGACACCTGTCCAGTTAAGGCTAGGATGTGCCTACAACAGTCAGTTAAGTACATAAAATGAATATACAACTCCAAATCACATTGTATTTCAACAAGTATATGAAGGATGAAGTTCCCATCCTGCCTTAAACGCCTGCTAGCTAAAAAAAGTGAATTATGGCAGCATAAGGCTATTACTAAAACCATCCTCAGAGCCCCTCGTTAATAATGGATTCCTGGGGATACATCAATAACAGCAACATAAGCATCAAGATATTCTGACATGACGTTTGCCCTTGGAGGACAAACTTAAACCATAGCACATAAGTAGCTTGGCAACCCATAAAATACCACAGCCTTCACCATGATTACACCAAATGTGCCACGGGGTCCCTCAGACACGAAGAGTAATGCGAGGCGGAAGAAAGAGGAATGGCGCTCTTTTGGCTAATGGCGTGACCTGTAACTCAACAGACAGCAATCCCTAGCTGTGCCACAGATGACGCTGTGACCAAAGGCACATCACCCCTCCTGAGCCCCCATTACCCGCTCGGAGAAGCCCCTGCAACACAGCGCCCATGCGGGGGCAGGCGTCCATTTGCAAAGCCTCAAGCACTGCACCGGCAGAGGCCACACACATAGTGCTGGGATCACCAGTTGTTCTTCTGTCATGTGCAGCACAGCCTCTCCAGTGTTTTAAGTTCTGGCAAACTGGGATGTTGGCCTTTACTTGAGTAGAAATAACTGACAGTGGTGGAAGAATGACTACACAGGAAGGAAAAAGGAAAAACTCAGTGAGGTTTCTCTGCGTTCCCTGTCTCCCAGCATGCCCATCACTCCCTCAGACAGACTTGAAGACACAGCAAGGCTCTGCCTTCACAGCACGGCTTGCACAGAGGTGAAAAACTAGACAAAAAGTTTCAGTCCCATTTTAACAAGAAACGGTCAGGATGACAACAACAAAATAGAGCAGGTAGCTGGTGCCGCACTGGCTTTTGCCTGCACTGATTGGCAAAGGCAGCGAGCAAAGCCTCAAACCAGCTCTTTGACAAGGCCTAACGCCTCCCCGGCACCCCCGTGTAATTACACACTTGAGTGACTAGACTCTGAAGAAAATTGAAGGCCTGAGCTGCGAACAGCTGCCATTTTCTCTCTCCATCACGCCAGCATGATTACTTGAGAAATGAACAGCCCTGGCTCACAGCTACTCCAGAATTCTCAGAGGAAATATGGCTCCGTGTTCAAATAATGAGATTCTTAAGGCAAGCGTTACTTACAATCACACCACACACCAAAAAGGAAAAGGGAGGGGAAAAAAAAAGGGAAAAAAGGACAGCCAGAAAGAAAGAATGCCAAGGTCCTTATATGTTACAAATTAAAATTTAAGAAACCCATCCTCAGCCTAGGACAATTATGACTCTTTTTCTGCTTTTGAGAGTTATTTCTTGGATGGCTACTTTGGACATATTTGTGGCATTAGCAGATCCCATTGTCTTTGTAAAAAAAAAATTAAAAATTAAAAAAAGATAAGGGCAGAGAGAGAGAACATTGTAATGAGCCTCTTAAAAAGCAAGATACCTAACTCTAGTCTGTTGAAAAACACATCGTAGCCAAATTTATCCTGCCTCAAGGAAAGTGGGCATTCATTTTCCTTCAAAGCATTATGTGGGACAAGGACTTTTTTGAAGCTTTTTTTAGAAAAAGGAAAAAAGAGCCAGGACTCAATTGTTGGTTTTTAATTATTTTTCCTGGGAATGTAATTTACCAGGAGTTTTACCCATTACAGTGCAACTGAAGTTAATGAGAACTAAGATTTTTCTGGAGTAACAAGCCAGAAGAACATGAGAAGGTGATGACAGGACCTGGCATGAGGATTCACAGGTGTTTCTAGGCAGGAATCCACATCTGTCCAAGAGGCATTCCAAGGAGATTCCTCATCCACACACCATCGCAAGGGTCAGAGGCCCGATCTGGAGTGACCAGCTTTGTGCTGAGATGTTGAGTCCTAGTCAGATCTCATCATACAGCCAGTCCAAAAGCACCACTGCAGACCTGAGACTTTCTGAGACTATAACCAGGAAGAAGCTAAGAGAGCCACTGTCAAACCTAGAAGGCCAAACTATGGCTCATCAAGGCAGAGCGCATGAAACCCCTCAAGGGCCTCCATATGGGCTGGTTAATGCCATTCACTACCACGAAGTCACTGTCATTAGTAATTAAAGGACCACAAAAATCTTGCTAGTACAGAATTACTGCCATCGAGAATAAAACATCTGCTTTGGGTGCTGGTAGCATACTGCTTTGCTTTCCAAGCAACTCCAGCTTGAGCACCATGAGCTATATAAAGACAGAACCTCTCTGAGACCCCTGAAGATGAAGCAGCAAACTAAATCAAGTATAAAGTTACAGCCCAATGTCTGAACATTAGCTTCCAGCATCCTCCCAACGTAAGAGCAAAGTCTGCATTCTTATCTCCCCACAGATGTTCACAGATCACATGCATAATCAGTCTTCATTGCACTCTGATAGGCAACCAATGCAGGACATCACGAACCAGAAGATGCACAGAAACTGATGTGAACAGTATGTTCTGGGTCTCCTCTAATGCATGGCTTTCATGCCCTAAGAACACAGGAAGAGACTCCTCCCTGCTGCCACTGCCTCTGGAGCTAGAAAGCTTGCAACTTGAAGGACGAGAGCTGTAAATTCAGTACCTTTCCAAGTACCCAACATACAACTACAAGAATCAGTGACTTTCTAGAGCACAAGAACAAAACTTACAATGAGCATTGTAACAAGCAGGTTCTTCTTGGTGACCTGAGCGTGTGAGAAGATGTAGTTCAACACAGCGTTCATATCACTTTTATTCTCTTCCCGAAGGGTAAAGACACACTTGTCATAGTGACCTGCAATCAGAAATGCACATTTTTCCCAGTCTCCACACTTCTGTGTCAAGGAATACAAGTTAGTAGATGCGTCATTCTTCTAAATACATGTTTTGAGAATCTACTTTGCATTGTCCACACAACCAATTCTGGGAAGGAATCATTCCTCCCATCACCACCCCCTCAACTGCAAACTTTAAATTAAACATGCTACTCCTACTAAAACAGTTCAAATACCAAATAGATCCTTTGTGAGCAATGTGAAAAGAGGAACGGTGAGCTAAGTCTTCATTCAAGTAATAACCAAAATAAAATAATAGCAAAAGGACTTGCACCACCCTCTACTACCAGCAAATTGAAGTGGACATAGATCTGCAGAAGTATTAGGTTGGTGCAAGTATTGGAGCAGGACAAAAGAAAAGTAGACTGGAATCTGAACCACCTGTAAGAGCTAGAGCCTCAAAATTAGCTAGTGCTTCATTGCCATCTTGTGCCTGGATACAGCAGTGCAATGCACTTGTTCCAACTCTCGATTTCAGGCTGAGGTTTGAGGTTTGTCTTTATGAACACCGAGCAGGTTCTTGGTATTTTACAGCAGGTGCAATTACCTCAGTGACTTTTTTACTGCACTTGATTTTCCTACTATAGAATTTAATAAAAAGGTAAGATAGCACTAAATGAGGTGGTGAATTTAAACACTTTTTCTAATTTTTATGCAGATGCTCAGAAATCAGGAAATAAAAAGCAAGCTTCTAACATGAAGCTTCTGCATGTGGAACACCCAAGTGAGGGAGCTCTCCAGTGGTGGGCCACTCCTGACAGAGTCAGTGGGGGAACACAAAGGACAACAGGCAAAGACCACACAGACTGGCTGAGTCTTAGCGATATCAATAACAGATTAAAAATGGCAACATAAAAACTCATAATTCAGTGAGTCTGTTTTTTTACTCCAGGTTATACAAAAGTGCTCACTTAGACGATCAAAAACTCATATAAGAGCTACTCTTTTAAAGATTTACAGGGAAAAGGGACACACTGAAGAGAGACCAGAGTCACATTACGACATGTAAACCGTGGGTAAGATGACACAGGATGTAAAAGGTGATGGATATGCTAACAGCCGAAAACCAGCAGAACAGACAGCTTTGGGGTGGAGTTTGTCATTTGCTTGTCATAAGCATCATGATCACACTTACTGTGAAAATTCAAACTCTAAGCTTCTCTACAAAAACCAGCATCTGACTGACAGACTTTTAAAGTCAGATGTCATAAAGTCAGACTAGTCTTTCTTGAAGTGGGTCCATGTGGACCTTCTGGGACCAAATGTGATTCTTTCAGAAATCAAATCCTTGATGTGCTTAGAGACTCACCATGCTGAAACTGAGTCTCCACTTTCAGATACTGACGGAGCAAATCCATCACCACTGCTTTCATGTGACCCCGAATACCACTCCGGTACCTGCAGAAGCAAATAAGTCAAACCTAGCACTAAGTGAGACTGGCATGGCCCTGCTTCGGAAAACCTGCAAGTGAATAACCCTCAACACGAGTGGCAGAATAAGCCTGTTCGCTCATGGAAAGAAACGTAGCTGGTTCTGAAAACCCTAACTGTTGTGTAAATACATAACCCCTGTCATTACTGTTGTGGGGAAGCATGGCTCATGTTTTGCAATGAAACATCCTTTTTCTTCTAAAAATACTCAAACCTCTAGACACTGAAAGGCGTAACACACACCAGCTGCTTGCTGAAGTGGCCAAGATCAGCGTCAGGACAGAATTTAAGTCTTTCTTGCATATGGCAAAGGGAAAAAGAGGAAGGATCTGTACGTGCAGTTTACGCAGGCGGCCAGGAGCCACACACACGATCCCCTCACTGTTGACCTCCCTGAGGGAAGTACACAGGCTTATTCCTACTGATTTAGGCTCAGAGTGTAATAAAGCCATTTGCATCAAGACAAGTAGGCTCAGGTCTTTCAAACAGCAGAATAGAAAAAAGGGAATTAGGAGACACCCCTGAAAACGGCTCACCGCTGTACAAGCTGCACAATGCTCTGAGTGTTCATGAAGAAGACCTCACGCTCTGATTTGCGGTTCAAGGTGGCTGCATGGCTATCCAAGATATTGGCAATCTGAAAGAGAACGATCACATGAGAGTGCCAGTCCTGGATGAGATGATCTGGCTGAACAACCAGCAGAGAAGCTGAGAACTTCCAGACAGACCAGACCAGAGCTTCAGCAGACTCCAGCAAAGGCCAAAGCCTTAAACTGCTAAGGAAGTTAATGACCTGACAATGATACAAAAATCAATGCACAATATCGTATACTAGAAAATCATCTTCCAACATCCCATTACCTGATCAGGCCTACCTTAGTTGCAATCACTCTTTTCTAAAGTTATGTTGACACCACAAATTGCACTGCAGCATAGGTACCAGGCAAAAAGCAAGTAAATAAATGCCCACAAGGCCACTGATATGATTAAACCGCTTCCAAACCGTCTGCTTTGAGCTACATTGAGCAAGGAACACATAGCCTTCAGAACAGGTAAAGGAGGCAAACCTTTAAGCGTAAGTGATACAAGTAAGTATCTTTCATTATGAAGATCTCATGTTCAAACATCTTTCAGGGCCAACTAACCTCAGATAATTTATAGGAACTTTCTTTCTCTCTCTCTCTCTACTCCAACACAAACCAATTTTTATTCCTATATACAAGTGTGGTTGATCACCTGTTGGCTGGGAAACTGGCAAAGGACTGATGTGATGTTGCTGGCATACTGGGCCATCTCCTTCTTGATAGACTTTTCTACATTGGGTGGGATCCGTCCAGAAACACTGGTCATGATGTCTTGAAGTTCCAGCAGAGGCAAAGATGGATCTCTCAGTGTCTTCATTAGTCGCTCAACCCAGCCTTTCACCTAGAGAGACAAGTCAGTGTAAAGGCAAGCATAAAGAATAAATAGCAAGAAGGGAGAAAAGGAAAGGCTTTTCATGGAGATATTCTTCAATGCTGTTTTATCACACAGCTAGTCGAGGGACTAGATGAGAGAACTGGAGTAGATCAGAGCTGCTGTAGTACCTTACACCAACAGCTGACTCAGATTTGTCCACCTCCTTTCCTCCTTCCTTTAGGACTTCTGCCACAGCTGGCTATGCATGCAGCTCCCATGTACAAGGGACATATCATGCAGGCAAGAGCAGTAAAAATCAAGCTCAACTCCTTGCCTTTGTCTTTGTTTTGGGTGCCACAGACAGGACTCTCCCATCTTGCTTTCTAGTGAGACTGACTATAATAAAATCTAAGAAAGAAAACCAAATCGAGCTGGCACTAGCGGGGTAGTACTGCACTGACTCTTGGTCCTCTGGCCATGACAGTCAAATTGGCCAATATTGCCTTGAACTGAAAGAATATCTGTGGTCTCGCTCTGAAACAAGAAGTAACCAGTACCTTGCTGCTGAAGTAGGGCTCTGGCAGGCAGTATCCATTCATCACATTGACCAGGTTATCCAGGACATAATGGAAGATGCGATGGAGTTTCTCACCGCGAAGTGCTGTGCTCTGGATCTGTGGCAAGGTGCCTGTGTGCAGTTCAGCCTGGAAACACAATAAATAGAACAGTGTCACTAACCCTCCTGTGTGGCATCAGCCACGGTGGTAACATCCACTTAACCTCGACTGGAGGCTCAGATTTAACTTGGAAGAATTCCCAGAGTGGAAAATGCACTTGGTTGAGAGCCAGAAAAGTTACAAGCTGGATCTCCAACAGTTCTATGTTGTTTCAACCACAAAATAAGCTTCCAGCCTCTCTCCCAAATATGTTACAGTTGATCTCACTATTTAGATCCAGGGTGACCAAAAATCCCAGAGAAAAGCACAAGAAAAGACAACAGTTCGGTGCTGATCACCCCCTGCATGACAACCTCCCACAGTTTTCAACTAGGTATTGCTAAAGGAACAGTAAGTTCTCTTTCACTGCCACCAGCTATATCCCAGCCTACCATCCCTAAATGAATATATCTCTTTGCCTTTCACCTTAAAAAAAAATCCATGTCCTAGGCTCTTCGTTTTGTATATGTCCAGATTTGCTACAATTGTTTTCACAGGGCCCAACGCACTCAGAGTTGGGAGATCAACTCCCATTCTCCCAGAGAGGGTCACTCACTTAAAGAAGAATACACAATAAAATGAAGTTAAACTTGCATAGGAATAAAGCAGATGGAAAAATCTGGCCAACCTCCAATATCCTAGACAGTCACATACCCACAGTAGTACTGAATTAAGAAGAGAACAAGAATGGTACATAAGCTTAGCCTGACTCAGAGAAAGAGACAATAATCTGAGTCCTAGTCCTCATCCGAGACAAATAAATGGTAAAGTGACAATTCCAGTACAATGCACAAATCTGAGGTTGGTTTAGTACACTGGACCATCTCATACCACTCTCAGCATCACTCCACTATTAAAACCACAACCAACATCTGTGCTTCCTGCAACTTCTCACCTGCTGAACCCTGCTGGGATCATCCAGCTGGAGCTTGGCAATCACACAGCCTGGATCCAAGACTGCCCCTGGGCGTTTGACATAATGGATGCAGCCCGATTCTCCTGCTGTTAGTGTCATCACCATTTTCATCACCTGTAGCAAGGAAAACAGGTTACACACTTGGCTTCCATGTTCCCCAAATTGTTCTAGTTTTTTGAGCCAGCAGCCAACGTCCTTCCACAGATGAACTAACCTGCATGAGCACCTTTTGTCTGCAGGCTTTCTCAAAGGCTTAAAAGCACACACATTAGGAATGAAACCCCAGACACTAAAGTGAACCGTAGAACAAAATAACTGGCCACAAATCAGTGCAGCAGGAAGCCATTCTCAGGAACATCACCTGTTTCGCACCCTTTGGACCAACAGGTACTCCAGAAGGTCCCACGTTCAACACTATGAACAAAGCAGATACAATTCCCTACTGCAGCTGCTGCACTCTAAAGGGCTAGAAGGGGCAGAGCCACTCACAAAAGCTACAGCAACACTTTCACCTTTAGCAGAGGGAACTAGGATTGCTTGCCAGAGGTCACAGATGCTTCCTTAGATCAACCATGGAAGCTCCTGCCTTTGGAGCAGAAAGGTTGAGTTTGGGGGTAGCCACTCTAGTTTTAACATTGCTATACTATACAGCACAACTGAGAGCACAGGAATTGAGTAGGCGGATCCTTCCTAGCCACAGCTCTGTTGCAGCATAAAAGCACTTACATAAAGTATCTGGATCCATGGCTTGATACTTTTCTCCTACACATTGTCCCCAACTGGTTTAATTGTCCCTCTGTCAACACACCCTCCCCTCCCTCAAATCAGTTTTGAGCCACGCACTCCTACACAACCTTGTGCTTTCCTCACAGTGATGCAGAAATTGTTCATCCTCCTCCTCTCTGAGTTAAGTAATTTCCAAGGGAGAAGGAGGAGTGACACTTACTAGCTCATCCGATCAACCTGATAAATGATCAGGTAATCAGAGAAGTCTTAATTTGTTACTTAATCCTGGTATGTAACTCTGCTTCTGAGTCTGTGTTAGTAATAAGTAGTGGTCTACAAGTAGAAGGCCACAGATAGAATGCACAGTACACACAGATCCCACTCTCCCTTAGTATCACAGCAAGATGATAACCAATGGTCTCACCGCTGAGAAATCACTTGGTATACAGTCATTAACACCCAAAGTTCAGCTGTCAAGTAACTTCTTCCCCACCCCATCACTCTCACTGCCAATTCCTGCATTAGTCCAGGTTAAAACATGGACAAAATTTGGAAAGTAATACTGTGAATTATCCCTCATGCTCAATTTCCAGTTCCAAAGCATTCGACACTTTTTCTCCCCAGCTTTTGCCTAGGCAGATTCAGCATCTGCAGCCAATAGTTCTTTGAGACTTTTTTACCTCTATTTCTGCAAAGCACTGGCCTGCAAACACGTGTCCCCCATCCTCCACTACATACTGGATAAGCTTCCCAGCTGAAGGCGAGCGCAGAATGGAGGGATCGTTCTCCTTTTCAAACACACAGGTCTTGTTACCTATCGTGATGCGATACCTAGGAAATGATGGGACAAATCACTGCAACGGAATTTCTTGCAAAAAGCATAGGAAGAGGAAAATTCATTTTCTCTTT